GTCCAAAGGCACTAACAGGTCTGTAACCATAATACGGACTTCCTGGAATCTCGAAATGCGAAAAACAACAACTAAACCAAAAATTATACCCCAAAACTAAATTGAATCAAACTTTGAACTTCAAGTTTTTCAAATTCTCTAAATGCATCGAATCATACTTAGACTACTCGGATTGGTACCAAATTTTGTGTGCAAGTCTTAAATGATATTACGAAACTATTCTCGATCTCAAAATTCAATTTGGACCTTGATATCACCAAAATTAGCTCCAGACCAAATTTAAAGAACTTCAAAGTTCTTCAAGAACTAGATTTCACTATTAGGCACTGAAACTCTCCCAGGTCATCCAAAACCCGATCCGAAAATACGCCCAAGTCCGAAATCATCATACGAACCTATTGAAACCGTCAAATCCCAATTCCGAGGTCGTTTACTCAAAATATTGACCGAAGTCAAACTTTGCCTTTTAGGCCAACCTTAAGGAACCAAGTGTTCCAATTTCAACCCAAACTCTTCCAAATCTCGAACCAACCATCCCCGCAAGTTATAAATCAGTTAAAGCAAGTTCAAACAGTCTTATTTAGGGGAACGAGGTTCTAGAAAGCAAAACGACCGGTCGGGTCGTTACACTCATCGTATGCCACCATCCGCATGCAATATCCACTTGTGAAGCTCATGTCGCATCAACCAATGATAGGCTCTTTCATCTTCCTGTCGGATCGATTCCATGCGCCTCCTAAATTTACACTCCTGGTGATCAGTTGCAGCCATCCATCATGCAAGTCCTTGTTGGGATATTTCTTCTAGAAATTGGCCTTCAGGTGCCTCACCTAGTAACGGTGGTATGCATACGGTTCCTTCCATTCAGGCAAATGCTCTACAAAACATAATATAACCCTATGCCGATCAGATATTAGACAAATACTTGAACGTTGTTTGACAACGTGCTACTTCAAGTGGTTCAAAAATAACGTCCACGTCTCTTGGCTTTCATTGGCACAGATGGCAAAAACTAGGGGAAATATTTGTCCATTGGCATCAACTGCAACGGCAATCAACAACTTAATATCATACTTTCCATAGACATGAGAACATCTATAGACATTACCAGGAGGCAATGCACAAAACCATCAATTGCTGGTTTAAATGCCCAGAACACTTATATGAATATATATTTTGATATTCCTGCACTCCGCCCAAGCTTCCATTCAACAACAATCACGGGGTTAAAGTGTTGCAATACGGCCATGTATCTGGGTAGAGATGCAAATGACTTATCCCACTCATCATAAACAATTTCAAGTGCACGTTTGCGCCTGAGATATGTCTTTCTTTTGGTAATAGTACACCCATATTCCTGGTGGACGGATGTAATACACTCTTTGATCTTGTACCTTATGAACACTTCAATATGTGGAATCAAGACAAGAGAAGTCAAGTCAACATTCAAGTTGAAGTATCCCCACTGAATGTGTCCATTTCACAATTGTGTATGCTAATGTATTTGCCCATTTTCCACATATTTGTTTTCTTCTTTATCGCACACAGCATCCAGTTACAACCCGTAAACCATCTACGGAAAACAACCTTGTATACATTCGGAGATGTCTCCCATACAATTATCTCACGACACATTTTTACACTGTACATTTTCACCACCCTGCTTAGGCGCGCCTTATCAGGAAAATGCATGCCCTTTGACAGCACCGTTGGTCTAGATTCATCTCACGTTGTTGTCCGAATTTCATCAATATCCCTTGTGAGGCATGTACATCCAGCGTACTTGGCAAATGATCAAGGTAGGGAATATGCCTTGAACGTAACAACACGTAGGACTCGTACACTCTTGGTCTAACGGGAGGTGGAGCATGCTCTCTCGCCAAATCAGGTTCGGCATTCTCTTCCTCTTCATCATCACCCTCATCACGGAAGGGTGTGTCATCTTCAGACTCATCGTCATTGTTGTCATAATCACTATTATCTTCCTGACTCTGTGCATCTGCCAAATCTCTAGTAAATACGTCGTCTATGAGTAATTGAGTGAGGACAAGACCATCAAGTTGTTTGTTTTCAATGCACAACCAAAGAAATAATGAGTTATTGAAATTGGTCCAAACAATACATATAACTTTATATATTTACTTACAATTCTTAATGTGTTGATAACCCATGATGCATATTATCTTGTTGATGATGACTCCCGGATGGACCATCATAATCCAACACACCAAAACTAGGCATATTCCAACTGGTTGTTGGTTCATAACTTGTAAAATTCATATATGGTCGGTACCCCCGGTGGAATATATGAGTATTAATAAAAATATAATATACAAAAATATACATCGTAACACAAAGGATAATTGAATTTTACCACTCGGCTTGGGGATTATGTATACTAGGGAAGAAATTATTTTCTCGCTCCTCATTCGCTCGTAGATATAAGTTTAGATCCGGCCAAACTCTTTCAGTCGGAACCTGTTCAGCTAAAACTACTCCAGAATAACCACTCGATGATTGAGGGATTTCCCTACTTTGCGCAACCTCATTATTGCGAACGTCTTCAACTTTGACGTACATTTCCAACAATTTTATCACAATAAATTCTCTGTATTCATCCGGAGTCCCCAAAAAATCTCTTAGAGTTTCATCGTCTTCGATGTTAAACTCAGCATAACAAGCAACCTCTTGCGGAGTCACAGAATACGAATATCTTCCGATTATTTTAAGATTCACCGAACGTTTGCTCACACTCATTTTATTATATAACAAAGATATCAATCTATCGTACTCCATTGTAAGTGGCAACTTAACATGACACTGTGGAGATAAACTATAGCTTACTGAGTTATTCGCCACTACAACCTCACCTCCCTCCCCCCTCCAATATAATGAAACCCTAATTTTTCGCTCTTTAGACATTATGACAAAATGCAAAACAACTTAACAAAGAAAAATTCAGAACACTTGAAAAATTTTAAAACACTCGAAAATTTTTAGAACACTTGAAGATGTTTATGAATGGATTTTTACAAAATCCTTCACCTCTTTAAATAAGCAAAAACCAGCCCAGGGGTTCAATTAATAGAGGTATAGCATTTTTTTTTAAAAACGCTATACCCAGTTGAAATATTGTTATATCAGTTGAATTATTTGTGGGCCCACTTAATACGTATAGCGTTTTAGTAAAAAATGCTATATATAAAAAGACGTTGTACTTAACTAGCCAAACGGCCGTTAAAGTATAGCGTCTTTCTAAAAGACGCTATATATATTTTGATAACTATTTTTCTTTCCCACATATTTCGGTCATTTGAGTCAATTTGGTTTCGGACTCGGGTTTTGCCCCTCGGGGGAGGGGAATCAATTTCAAGCTTTCACATTCAATATGGTGATATTAATTGATCAGTCACCTACAAGTAGAAATATATCGTGACGTCAAGACCACAATTAGAAAAATAAAAATTCACAAACTATATGTAGGATACTTCTATTAACGGCTTGATATATAAACTAAAGACTTGGATTTTTTAATGATCGGTTATTTACATAACCTACTTTCCCAGCTTATGTTAACCAAGAGATCAACTTAAAACAAGCTGTGGCCTGTGATAGTAGGTTAACTAGTCAACGATCACCATACTACACATATTAATTTAAAGATCATTGAATTTATCGAGAAGTGAATAAACTTTTTTAAGATTATTACAAATCATACTATATTAAGGAATATATTGACTTTAAGAAAAAAAATTAATTAGAATTAGTGCTAATTGTTTAGCACGGGAACGTCATAACACTCATACTAGTTGTCAAGATCAACCTGGATTCACCATTCTCACCAAGTATTAGTATTCAAATACCCACTGATCTTAATCATAAGTGAGACGTCATCCTTTATTTAATTATTCATATATTTGCCAGCCGTGAAATACTGAAATATAACCGTAGAAATTAAGAAAGAGTACGAATCAATGTTCAAAGCCAATGGGTCAAAGTAAATTAAAGGAGCCAAGTTGAAATATGTGAACTCAGAATTGTCACGGACAAAGAAATACATGAACTAACAGGGTTCAACGCCCATTCGTTTAAAATATTACCAACCCCCCCCCCCCAAATAAACAATCAAAGAATTTAAAAAAAAAACATGAATTAGAGTTTACGTACCAATTAAGCTCATATTTTTTAGCACAATTATTTACAGTGCGAAGCACGTCGAACATGACTATAAGATATCATACCAATAGTCATTAGAGTTCGATTTTGACCTCAATGTTGTGATTTTTCCTACATACTTTAGCTCTTATTATATGATAAATTTCCTTTTTCTATAAATTTGTATGAAAGAATGAGGGTAACACAAGTAAGGTATTAAAAATACGGGTTAGTCCAAAACCAGAAAAAGCATAACGAATTATGATGTGAACTTTTTGGTGATAAATATTAGCTTAGTTTTATAAGATTTATTTGTTCATTCAAATCATTGGTTAGAGGAAAAATAAATACTACAAGGCTAGCGTTAAATGACCGGCAATTAGGAATGCTCTTGTGGGGTCCACGTACTTTTATTAATTATTTTCATGAAATCGTAGACGTAATTCCCCTTACATCGGTTTCCACTGTAGGGCCGCCTTTGAAAGCTGCCTCTGAGTTGAGTTTTCCTTTAAATTTTACATTTTATAGCGTAAAGCCCGAAAGGCCAAGATAATTAGACCTTAAATGTAGGCAACTATATATATATATATATATATAATATCGGTTTATCTAAATTTTTCTATTTATAAAAAATAACTAAAGTTTTTTCAAATTATATACAAAATCTGATAAAAATCTACAACTTAAATATATTTTTTTTTGTAAAGAATACAATCAAAAACTACAATTTACTTATATTTATATACAACTTGTATCCAGTTATATCAGCAATACCAATTAATTGATAATATATTAGTGAAAATAATTAATTCATGTATGCTAGTATTACTGTTGGATTGTGATGACATAAAAAAATATTAAAGCAAAAAGACTCTAGAGTCAACGAGTCCACGCAGTGGCAGTGGCAGCGACTAACCAAATTATTGAAAAATCAAAGGGCTTTTTCGTTTTCGCTAAAATTTTCACTTTACGTTACCCTTTAACATACCTATAAATACTCACACTTCAAACTCCCAACAAGACAAAATTCACATTTCTCTGTGTCCTTTTTCTGAAGCCGAAACGAAGCAAATGACTTCCTCTCCCAATTATCCGCTCATCACCAGTATCACCATGGTCACGGCGGAGAAAGGCGGCGCCGCCGAATTTTCCGATTTGCATCCAGATATAATAGAAGATCATATCCTCCCTCGCCTTGACGGACCAACACTAGCCTCTACGAGCTGTTCCTCCACCACCCTCCACCACCTTTGCTCCGACAATCACTTGTGGTCACGTATATGCCACTCCACTTGGCCGTCCACCGCCACTCCACGTGTCAGTCACGTGATCTCCACTTTCCCTGACAGCGGTCACCGTACCTTCTTCGCTCAGTCCTTCTCCCTCCCTCTTTCCGATGATAAGCAAATTCACGATTTAGAGTCAGTGGATTTGAAGCGAGTGCTCCATGCTATAAATATAAACCCTTATCACCTTTTTTGTATATGTACATATGATCCGAGTCGAAAACAATGGATTCAGTTGAGCTCTTCCGTCTATGCCCGAGAGATGAATTCAGTTGCATCCTCTAATATTATAAACTGTTCGTCTCCGCCGCTTGAGTTAATCTCAGCCGTCGATATACACTACAAGGAGAAGGTAGTTTTCAGTAAAGTGCAAGAGACTGAAACCACGACGAGTTGGTTTCAGTGCTGGCCGTTTAGAATTGACATGATAGATCCAAAGGATGTGATTTTAACGACGATAAAACACCCGAATGATGATGACACGTGTACGGATTTGATTGAAGATATGACGCTGAGTTGGATTTTGATTAATCCAATCGGACGGCGAGCAATTAACCTCTCTTCTTTCAAGCCTGTTTCTGTGCAACGTCATTGGTTGACTGGGGAAGTGCAAGTGCGGTTTACTTCAATCCTGACCGATGATCAGAAGAGAGGTCACGTGCAGTGCGAGATAGTGGTCACGTGCGGTGGATCTGAAGTAGGAGAGATGGAGGTAAGGGAAGTGAGTTTGGAGGTGGAGGACATGGATGGAACTCACTTGAACGGGAGGGAGAGTTTGGTAATTTTACAAAGGGCATTGGAGGGTAAAAGGGGAAATGGAGCTAACAGGGCTGAAATAGGGAGGAAGAGGTATAAAGAATTCTTGGAAATGAGAAGGGAAAGAAAAGAAAGAAAGTTGAAGAGAGAAGGGGCGTTGGATATTTTGTGTGTGGCATTTGGTATATTCATTTTTGTGGCTTTTTGGTGTTTTCTATTTTGTTTGGGTAGATAACAGATGTAAAGAATAGAGAAAATAAAAATAAGTGAAAATGTAAAATGTAGTGGTTTCTTACTATTTTTTGGGAAATTTATTAGAAAGAAAAAAAAGCCAGAGGAGTATTATGACAATATATTGGATTTTGGTGATAAAATAACTAGAAGTGAATTTTATTGGGGGTAAGGTGGTCGAAGCACATCTATCCTTGTAATAGTATATATGACATTTGACGTAGATAATAGTACTCCCTCCGGTCTCAAATTATCTGTCGTGTTTGTCTTTTACACGCCCCTTAAAAAAATATTAAATAGGAAAAGTTTTTAATTTTTTTATCCTATCTTAAGATATAATCTCTCTTCATTCAATATTTACTCATAATTAAGGTATATGTAGTCTTCAAGAACAATTAATATTAAGGTTAGAATAGGAAAAAAATAATTAAGTTAGTCTTGAACTTCTAAAATTAAAAATAATTTGAGACAATTATTTTTAGAAATCATGACAGATAATTTGAGACAGAGGGAGTAGAAGATTCTCATATTGGGCCAATCTTGTAGTCAGTCATTACAATTTTGCACTCATCCTTGAAACACAACCAATTTTGACTGCAGATGGCTTATAATCCCTACAATATATTCGTATAATTTTTCGTTGGGAAAAAGAGAACACAAATTCTCTGCAGATTAATCATTTGCAAGAGCAACGCTTGCAACTCTGGCAGCACACAGAGTGGTTTGTTTCATAACACAATTTGGCTGCAGCAACATTTACTGTTCTATTGGTGGCTCAGGGGGGCCTCTGGCTATTGGCACACCCCCACCAAAATCGGCTTTAGGCTTTGCGTAGTCCACAAAAATAACCCGCCCATTAAGAGGCTGCAACATTCGTCATAGAAAGATGATGGATAAAGAACATCAAAAGTACGCATAAAAAACACATAGAAGGATAATATGGACATACCTTGCCGTTCATTTCTTGCAAGGCCTTCTTGGCTTCATCTTCAGATGCATAGGTGACAAATCCAAAACCCTTGGATTTGTCTGAGACTCTATCCATCACAATTTTAGCTGTCAAATAAAACAAGGTTAAACTAAAGATGCTAACTCACACTATATCTGAAAGAGAGTTCAACCTATGTTATTTGTGCACCTTCGATAACTTGACCATGTTGAGAAAATGCCTCTGACAGTCCGTTCTCTGAGGTGTAAAATGAGAGTCCTGTACATAGCAATATCTCATAAGCTTGTTATGTTGGATAATGATTCTATATTTTTCATTTCTCTTTGCATTGGCGGAGCAGTGACACCACATTGTTAAGCGAGCAAACCAATGGTTTTTCCTGTGTTCTCGAAAATAATTAAGCATAAAATCGTGAAACATGGAGAAAATACATGCTAAGCTTAAATACTGATAAAGGGCAAGCTTTGTGGAGTTTTCAAACGCTAAGGTGCTTCAGTTTAATATAATGATCCTTTTCTTTTTTCTTTTTCCTTTTTTTGATATAGTAGTTTATAATAAAGTTCCTGATAGCTTCAGATAATTGTTAGTAACATATTTTGACTATGTAGCAGATCTAATCAAGATTAACTTCGGATCAAAGCCTGATAGATTATCATTGTTTCAGTCTAATGAGTGAAGAATTGGAAAAGCTCCTAAGGGATATCAAGTTAATGAGAGATTATTTATATATTTTGCGCTAAAACAAGTAAACAAACTGCTAATATATACAGTAAGCTGCTCCATACAGATACAAAGCTTTTGAAGGTTCATAGATAGTGTTCTTTATTCACCATGTCTAAAATGTCTAGAAAGTACCACTAGAGATTCTGTTCGCTGAGCTATAGGTATAGCTGCATTGTGAGAGTTCATTCAGTTTGCCTAATAATAGATGGACTAAAACAGGCTTATAATAAGTCAAATTGTACGGGCAACCCGGTGCATTAAGCTCCCGCTATGCGCGGGGTCCAAGGAAGGGCGGACCACAAGGGTCTCTTGTACCAGGGGAAATTCTGGTACTAGGAATTCAACAAAAAAGATTGTTGAATTTTTATTGTACAGCATCTCAAATATTGCTATATTGTACTTGGGCGATATCAAAAAGAGATGGGTGCTTTGTCCTAATCGTTCCTTCAGGCCCTTTCACAACATCCTCCAACTATCAGTCCCATTTTCTAGCTAAAGATAACTCTCTTCACTCATTCCTAGACGGAAGGGAGCAAGTCTAGCTTCATATTTGTTACTTCACTTTTTGTTTACACTTTAGGCAATAATCCAGGAACAAAAGCTAGACTAGTCAATCGAGTAGGTGATTTAATATTAGCTCCTATTTCTGGTTCTTTTCTCCTCTTTTGAATGAACTCTCTTGTAACAATCAACATAGTTGATTGGGAAAGAGAATCTTAGTCCATAAAATAAATCCTCCTTCCTAAAACTTAAAAGGGATCATCTAATCTACCTCTTTGCGAGCATTTTGAAGTGGTTCAAAGATAGTACTATATTGACAACAATACCTGTACTTTTTTCAGTACTAAACTACACATTTTTCGTTGATCTTTAAGTTCCTTCAGGTGTTGACCTGTTTATTTCCTCACTAATGTCAAACCAATACCTTTAAAATAAGTAAATAACTGATAACCTTATGGGCACAAATAAGTCAATAAATCATCATTTGCATAAAACCTTCTTTTACATCACTATAATTATGTTTTCTTCAAGAACAGAACAGACCCATCAACCCAAATTGCAGCGCGAAATAATTCCCAGAGTCCTAAGAAGCAAAAAAATTAACAACTTTAATAAAAGAATTACCAATTCATTCCAATAATGAGCTTCTTTAGTGGGGCATGATAGGGAATCTGAGCTTGGAGTGTCCTTTGTGTGAAAGAGAAGATGAATCTGCTGAACACTTGTTTTTTCAATGTGCCTATTCAAATGAATTATGGACTAAAATACTCAATTGGCAAGGCATTCAAAGACCAGTAGGGGGTTGGTGTCAAGAGGTGAACTGGGCAATCAACTGGGCTAATGGGAATAAAGCTGTAGATGAACTATATAAAATGGCCTTGGCAGGTTGTACTAACTATATTTGGCAAGAAAGAAATCAAAGAATATTTCAAGGAAAGAAGAGGACTGTTAATACAATTTGTAGACTTGTGGTGCAGGACATTCATTGCCGGGGGATGAACAACAAGAAGCTAGCTGAACCTTTGAGAAATTTGAACTTCTACCCCTAGAAGAAATATGCACGGCTGAATATAATGTAATGATAGAGGTAGAGGGGTCATGAGAATAGAAGTAGGAAAGATGATGTATGGTTTTTTTGTAGGATTGGTTATTCTTGTACATACTTTTGTTCTCTGATAAATAAAATATAATTAGTTACCAAAAAAAAATAAGCTTCTTTAGTGTGCAGATTATTAAATCAATTGTACATACATGTACAAAAGTGAGAAAAAAGAAAA